GGTGAGGAAAAATGAGAACACATGGACACAGGGAAGGGAGTACTAAACACTGGGGTCTATTGGGGGGAATGGGGAGGGAGAGTGGGTGGGGGCAGCTGGGGAGGGATAGCCTGGGGAGAAATGCCAAATGTGGGTGAAGGGCAGGAAGGCAGCAAAACACACTGCCATGTGTGTACCTATGCAACCATTTTGCACATTCTGCACATGTACCCCAAAACCTAAAATGCAATAAAAAAAATTAAAAAAAAAAAGAAGTGTAGATGAGCGCAGCCTTTTGGGAGAAAGTTTCAGTACTTACTCAAATCATGTATACACATACTGTCTGATGCAGAAATCACTCTGGGGCATATATTCACAGAAATCTTACAGAGATCCAGAAGAGGAAATGTACAATTATGTTCACTGCAGCACCATTGGGTTAGTGGGGAGTTAGAGGCAATGTGAGTTTCCATTACTGAAGGCAACATGTGGTGGATGAATTTGTAGGAGACCTGGGCAGCAATTAGAAGCTTTAAGTCTGCTAAGGATGATGGCCTCCAGCTCCATCCACGTGGAGGCCTAGCATGGGGTAGGGGATGGAGGACTCCTTAAGGAGACCTACAGTTGGCAGAGAGGTGTCCACACTTCCTGGAACCAGTGAAAATGTTAGGTTACAAAACAAAAGGGAATTAAATTGCTGATCAGCTGACCTTGAGATGGGGAAATGGGGAGATTATCCTGGATTATGTGGATCAGCCCAGTGTAATCACAAAAATCTTTACAAGTGAAAGAAGGGGGCAGAGAAAAGAACCAGATAGATGTGCGGGTGACGTCTAAATCTGATGCCACTGGATTTGAAAGTGGAGGAAGGGGCCATGGCCTCTCTAGAGGCTGGAAAAGGCAAGGAAACAGATTCTGCCAGAGCCTCCAAAAAGGAATGAAGCTCAGAACTCTATACCCATATATTCTTTCCTTTTCTTTTTTTCTCCCCCGCTCCTTTGTCTCTCTCTTGAAATTTGAAAATTGCAGAAAGCTGGGAAGGAGAAAATAATCATCCATATATCGACCACCCAGAAGCAACAACTCTGAACATTTGGTCTTTTTTCCTGGTCGTTTTATCTATGCATATTTTCTTTTGAAAAATTACCCATAATAAAAATAATTGCTGCAGATTGGATCCCCTCTGACTTGTACTCACTTCTTGGGAGCTAACTCTATGGCCAGAAGGTATCCTTTCAATCTGCTTTAATTATGTAATACCTTGCAAAGTGTAGCCCACAGATCAGTAGCACTGGCATCATCTGGGAGCTTGTTAGAAAGTAGAATTTCAAGCTTACCTAGGCTTGCTGAATTAGTCTACAGCTTAACGAGATCTCCAGGTGATTTGTATGCATATTATGAGAAGAGTTGCATTATATATATAGGTATCCATAAATAATGTAGGGTTCTGTGTGTTATTTACAATTTATGTATATGGTATCGAACTGCACATCTTAACAACTAGTTTTTGTTTTCACTCAGCAATTAGATTCCTAAGACCTCACAATGCTAATGGAGATCTAGTACGTTCCCTTTTAATTTGGTGAAGAAAATTCACATTTATGTTGCTGATAATGAAATCTGTTCTTAAGTCAGCATGATAGTATAGCACTGATTTATTGCAACCAGGTACAAATGGAGATGGCCAGAGAGACTTACTACTTTCTACTTAAAAAAGAATGCACCTACTTATTTTCTAGGGGCATCAGTCACTGGGAGAAGTTTTCTTCCTAAAGAAAAGCAATTACCGTTTATGGCCTCAAAACTGTTACATGCTCAGGAAAAAATACCACATTTATAAAGTCCAAATATCTCACTGTCAGTGGGAATGTCCAAAGCAAATTAGCAATGATTTTTTTACATTAAGAGGGTAGATGTACAGAACATGAAGGGGCATTCACTCTAACTTGGATTGAGATTTATTTTCTTAATATCTTCAAGGAAACTAACCAGCAAACCTCTTCAGGCTTTGACTGCTGTAAGACATAAATTGCTCCATATTCCAGAAGGCTTCTATTGTCCTAGATCTTCACTAACAAGTGCAATGTTGGCTTTCTCACGATTTTTTTTTTTTTTTTTTTTTTAAGACGGAGTTTCGCTCTTGTTACCCAGGCTGGAGTGCAATGGCGCGATCTTGGCTCACCACAACCTCTGCCTCCTGGGTTCAGGCAATTCTCCTGCCTCAGCCTCCTGAGTAGCTGGGATTACAGGCACACGCCACCATGCCCAGCTAATTTTTTTGTATTTTTAGTAGAGACGGGGTTTCACCATGTTGACCAGGATGGTCTTGATCTCTTGACCTCGTGATCCACCCGCCTTGGCTTCCCAAAGTGCTGGGATTACAGGCATGAGCCACCACGCCCAGCCTGATGATCTTGTTTTTACGGTTGCAGAGTGACTTTGTTTAAGGTTGTTGTTTTACAGGATTGTGTATGTCCAACAGAACAGTCTGGCTTAGCTGTGAGCAGCAGCCCAGCTTGTGAGCTTGTGACAGCACTGAAGCCCAGCTGTGAGAGTCCAGGACTGCCTTCTTTCTTTCTTTCTCAAATGAGTGACAGTGCCTTATCACAAGGAATCAGCCTGTCTCTGAGACTCCATGTGAGGGAGAGGAGCTGTCTCAAATTCATTCTGCTCCTCAGAGGTGTGCACCGTCAGCCTGCACCCCTGTCTGGCCATTGTGACACTTCTTCCCAGCACTACACTGACTCAAGGTGCTTCTGAGCTATTCTTAGAACTCAGAAAATGATGCTGCTCTGGTCCGTTTACCCTCATCATTCCCATCTGTTTTTTCTTTTTCTTTTTTTCTTTAGAAAGGGATTGTTCTGTTTTTTGGCTGGGGGTAGTGTCATCTCAGCACTGTAATCCCAGCACTTTGGGAAGCCAAGGCAGACAGGTCACCTGAGGTCAGGAGTTTGAGACTAGCCTGGCCAACGTGGCAAAATTCTGTGTCTACTAAAAATATAAAAATTAGCTGGGCATGGTGGCTCATGCCTGTATTCTCAGCTTCTCGGGAGACTGAGGCATAAGAATTGCTTGAACCTGGGAGGCAGAGGTTGCAGTGAGGCAAGATCATACCACTGCCCTCCAGCCTGTGTGACAGAGCAAGACTCTGTCTCTACAACAACAACAAAAAGGTGCGTGTGTGGGATTATTCTAGATTTTTCTGTTTCTGATTTATGAACATTTCCTATTTTCCTTTGGGTATTAATATTTCATGCCTCACTTGCACAAAATGTTTTGAGTTGAAGGGGTAGGCTTCAGTGTGAGCTCAAGCTGCTATCTTGACTTGTAAATAGCAGAGGACCTTTATGTGCCTCTCTTCTGGACTGTGGTTTCCGAACACGTGGCACTACCCAGCCATCTCTTATCAAAGTGGTCCTCAATTGTTATTGTTATTAATTTTATTTTTTTCATAGCTACCTTTTTTATTTTCATAGGTTATGGGGAACAGGTGGTGTTTGGTTACATGAGTAAGTTCTTTAGTGGTGATTTGTGAAATTTTGGTGCACCTATCACTCAAGCAGTATACACTGTACCCTATTTGTAGTCTTTTATCCCTCACTTCCCTCCTGTCTCTTCCCCCTGAGTCCCCAGGGTTCACTGGGTCATTCTTATGCCTTTGCGTCCTCATAGCTTAGCTCCCACTTATGAATGAAAACATATAATGTTTGGTTGTGGTGTTTATATAAGATGGAATACTACTCAGCCATAAAAAAGAATGAGTTGATGACATTTGCAGTAACCTGGCTGAGACTGGAGACTATTATTCTAAGTGAAGTAACTCAGGTATTATTATTAATTTTCTAAGTGTTCTCAAGGCTTTGCTAGGTCATGCACTTCTGGGCATCAGCTGTTCTGTTCCTTACATGCCAACAGCAAAAAATGAGAGATTTCAGCCTAACTGGTTCTTTCTGTGTAACCTTTTATCATATTTCAGTAAACCAGACCAAGCATTTGATCCAGGGGCAATAATCTGAACCTAATTTAGTCTTCTGATCTTGGAGCAAAGCAAGATATGGGAGCGTTGGCTGCCTAGAAAACCTTCTCTCACTAACCTTTATGCCCATAAGGACTAAGCCATTCTTCTTGAGGACAATCCCCCAGCCATCTTGCTCTGCCCTAACACCCATGGGTAACTTTTACATTTTAAAAATTATACTTTAAGTTCTGGGGTACATGTGCAGAACATGCAGGTTTGTTGTATAGGTATACACATGCCATGGTGGTTTTGCTGCATCCATCACCCCGTCATCTACATTAGGTACTTCTTCCAATGCTATGCCTCCCCAATCCCCCTACCTCCTACTATCCTTCCCTACCCCCTGACAGGCCCCCGGTGAGTGTTTTTTAAATCTGCTGGTGCTGGGAAAGGGTCACTAGTAGCGAAGGATCTTTCATTTCCCTTTACCCAAGCCTGTTAACTTTCAAAAGAAGAAGTGACTAACAGCCCCCATTGATGCCTACTAACAAAACCAGGTACAGGTTGCTGAAGACAGATATTGCTTGCGTTTAATGGAATCTCACTTACTGTGTTCACAGTAGATAATTGTGGTGGTTGAAGGATGTTTTTCAAGAGTGTGAAAGGGCCCTGAATGCATCTGATAGGATGGTGGTATAGAGATGCTGGGATCTAGAGGCACATCTCAAACCCTGTCAAGCTGGTATCAGCCTCAGCAGCATCTAACTGTCAGTGTCCCCAATTGAAAAAGAGAATTCTAGGATGCAGAAATCATGGGGCTAATCTTGTATTCTTATATTATTTATAATGGTCTTATCAGATCACTAAGAAATTGGCAAATCAAAGGGCAAGCAACACTCATGGGGATTTGGGATAACCAACGGAATTACTGCAGAGGAAGGAGAATCCTGAAGCTCAGAGAAGATTGAGACACTAGAGGAGGATTATGGGTTCAGGGGCAAGGAAGCCCCTTCATTCGCTCACTGACAGCTTCACATTCTCAAAGATACAAAGACAAATGACATGAATGCAAGGGTAATTATTTATTTATGGATCATGTGGAGTCAGGTGTTATTCATGTAGAGTTCCCCTGGCTGTAACAAAGTCAGAAATTTAGAGCAAACTTTAATCCTTGGTGAATTTCTGAGTCTTCTTCTGCAGTTAGGGGAGATTCTAAAGATGCAGGGATGATGTCTTTGTGTGTGACATGATGGAAACCAGGTCACAGAACTTGTCACAAGAGGATGTGGGGTCCAGGAAGGGAGGATATCAGAGTCCAGGTGACAAAGCATTCATACTAATTAAGCAGAGAAGAGAAATAACACAGGAATTTGTTAAACATTCCTTGGATTGCATGAAGGATGAAGATAAATTCTATTATAGAGAAAAATAATAAAGAAATGGATCCGGCCCTGTGTTCTAACTTATGTTGTAAACCAGAATAGGAGGAGGAAGGATGTTGAGTATTGACTTTTGCTTTTTTACTATTGTTAATGCCATCTTAACCATCCCCCAAGTGAATTTATGAAAAAGAGAAAGGAAGTAATAAAGGGTCCTAGGTTTGTTTCTGCCATCTTCAGCATTAGAAGTTTTGAAGAATTTTTGATACGTTGAGGAATAATGGCAAACTCTGTAGATATCTCTTGTTAAATACTTGCTTTATGCAAGCTGCTAAGACTTTCACATACATTATCTGAATAAAGCCCCACAATAAATCAAAGGCAGTTGAGGAAACTTAGAGTCTATTTTCCAGGTTGGCAGAAAATGGGAAGGTCAGACAGTCCCATTCCCAGGTTAGAAGTCAAGGACATACAGAGTACAAAGGAAGAAATGTGGATCATAAGTTGGAGGGTGAGATGGCCTCCTGGGAGATGGTCCACAAACACAGAAACATATTTGAGTTTCATACAACCTACTACTCTTTTTCCATTTCGAACATGAAGTCTTAGTGATTTTTAGCAATTACTGGGCCCTTTTCACAAGTATTATATCCACAGCAGCTCTGTATGCTAGGCATGGTTGTTTCCTCTTTTTTTTTTTTTTTTTTTTTGGTCTTTTTTTTTTTCTCCCTTTCATGGAGAATCGCATCTTGCTATGTTACCCAAGTTGGTCTCGAACTCCTGGGCTCAAGCAATCCTCCCACCTCTGTCTCCCTAAGTGCTGGGATTACAGGTATGAGGTACCGCACCTGGTCCATTGTTTCCTTTTTAAGTTTTAGGTTATTTGCTCAAAGCTCATGGGAGGATTGAGTCCTCTATCCAGGTCTTCCAATTCCAGATTTCAAGCTTTTCCTCACAAGCATCCCTACCAAATTATTTTGGGTGCAAACTCCTAATGCTGTTGGAAGGCACTGGTCCCTGGGCCACCCTCTCTCCATTAGAGTCAGAAATCACCAACCTGAAGGCTTAGGCTGCTCCCCCATCTCAGGCCTAGAGACATCGATCTGTCGAGGGAGAACAGAACAAATTCAGACACCAACACCAGTTTATTTTTCAGAGAGAAACCAGATGATTCTCCAAGTTAGCACAGAGGGGACTGATTTGGGGGGTATTACTTCCTTGAGATTGTTTCTTTCTGTAACACAGGAATTTAGGAAGAGAACACCAGAAATCTAAACTTATCAACTTTGGTCAAGTCAAGTATGTTTTCCTTAAAAATTTCATGTTCTTCACAATATTTCACAAACCTCTCCTTGATCTGTGAGCTCACATCTGGTGTTTGGGCTGTGGGAAGAGTGACAGTAACTGTCATGTCTTAGATATTCATCATAGAGGCAAATGAGGGGACCAGGATCCAGATAGATGGGAAAATGAATGGCACCCATTGGATGCCCAATTTGACATTAGTAGGATATCTTTCTAGCACAATGAAAGATCATAATTCCCTATCACTGAGCCTAGGGATTATTAAAGGTAAGCATCTGTGTTCAGAGAAAGAGAGATGGCCCAGAATAAGTTGGGAAGACCACTTTGTATCTAAGGTTCTTGCCTTCCCCCCTTTTCCCATCCCAAGATGAGTGTCAGCATGAAAATACTCTACCATAGCGCTCCATCAGTTGGAATGTTTCCCCATCCCTGAAATTCTTGTCATTAAAAAATATGTAATTATCATAGTCCACTTCAAGTATGTTAACTACATTGTGTCCATGATCTGTGGAAGAAACAGAACACATCTCAGAACTCCTTTGGTCTATAGAAAGCCGTTGAAACCCTTTACCTGTTCTCATTGACAACACAAGTTCAAGTACATATCCTGTTAGGAGTAGTGAGGATGTTTAATATCTTCCATTTGCATCTCCCTGGGCTTCAGGAGGCAAATTCTGTGAAAAGGGTAGATTGACCACTAGTGGTCAAAAAATGTAGGCCCGGTAGTAACTCACTCCTTATCATCCCCCTGAGACCTACCCACCTCCAACAGCATCTCTGCCAGAGAGGTGTCTCTGTTCTCTCTATAAGCCCCAATGGCGTTACTTACGTGACGCTACATCCTGAGCAATGTGCTGTGACAATGACCACCAGATATCCAGAAAGCCAGGCAGAGAACGAGAAGCTGTCCTGCCAATTTACTTTATTTATTTATTTATTGACGAGGTCTCACTTTGTCGCCCAGGCTGTAGTGCAGTGGCGCAAACTTGGCTCACTGCAACCTCCACCTTCTGGGTGCAAGCAATTGATTCTCCTGCCTCAGCCTCCCAAGTAGCTTGGATCACAGGTGCGTGCCATGATACCTGGCTAATTTTTGTATTTTTAGTAGAGACAGCGTTTTGCCATGTTGGCCAGGCTGGTGTCAAACTCCTGACCTCAGGTGATCTGCCTGCCTCAGCCTCCCAAAGTGCTGGGATTACATGTGTGAGCTACCATGCCTGGCCCCAGTTTGCATTTTTTCCCCTGCCAATTAACTTTTGTTGCAGGAGGTGCATATGACCAACTCACCTTCCTTAAGCTGATGGTATCATGTGCCAGGCACTGGCTTTTACATGCAAGGTTCTCCCAAATTCAGGTTATTGGCTATTTGATGGCCCCCATTTTATTACCAAAATAGTTATTGATCAGAAATTGATCAAGATCCCGAAGATACTGGGGTTTAGTAAATTCCTTGCAGTTGGAAGTATAATTTAGAAAGACTTAAAGAAATATTTACAGTCAATGCTACATATGGCATTCTTTTCTGTTGGTTTACAAGCCAAATTAATTTCAGTACACTTTCCATTTTCACTGTAAAACAGAATAAATTGATGCCCAGTAGCTATTGATGAGGCTGGCTCCCTCTCCCTCTACTCTGCCAGTAACTTGAGTTTCTGATTCAACTTTTGAACATTTTTTGGTACAATTATCAAAGGCCTTCTATGTGTATTATTTCACATGATTTGATATGTTAAGAATGACTTAAACAATGACTTCTAGCACTGTTGCTACTGTTGCTACTTCCCATTGTTGCTATTACTACATCTGCTTGTCTAGATCATTAGCTGAATGTTCACCACATGCCAGATTCTCAAGTTAAGTGCTTTACAAATGTGACCTTTCTTGGTACACACACACACACACACCCCAAAACAAAAAAACATGAGGAAGAATTATTCTCATCCCATTTTACCCATGGGAAAATGAAGGTGGAAAGAGATTAGTTTTCTTTGTAACACAATTGGTAACTGAAAGATTCAAATTCAGGCTGTTGGTTCCAAATTTAATTTGCTTAACCTATGCTATAGTGTCATACTCCTCATGATTCTGGTATCCCTATACCTCCTGCTTCCCCCACTCCAATTAAATTTATTCTCGTTACCAACTCTTGTCTCTGAATCTTGAAAAGCCCCAGATCCATCAAATCCTGGATCAGTGCACGCATGTGTGTTCGAGACCATACCAGGGCTTCTGTTTTTTTTCCCCAACTAAAAAAGGCCGTACTTACATTTCATGCAACTTAAAAGTCAGAGAAGATTCCCCCTGGTAACCAATGTGTTCCACAAAAACCCTCATATTTCCATCTTCTTCTATCTCTTCTCTCTGGTTAGAGGCTATGAGAACAAAATACCACTCTCCTGAAATCTGCAATAAATAAGTAAGATGATTGAGTGAGAAAAGAGGAGTGGTGATACCACATGGACACTTCTTTTCTTGAACTCTGGCCTGTGGGCTGGGGCTCATAATGGTGAAGTGAAGATAGAATTAGAACTCAGATCAGTTGGTACCATAGCTAGGGCTCTTTCCACTGCCCCTTCAGGGAGGATGGAGATCCCTAAGCATTGTCATCTTTTCATTTGGTACAGCTGCTCTTAACCCAAGGTCAGAAACCAACCCTTTTATCTGAAATCTTACGGAACTCCTGCCCTACAATAGGACCCACAAGGCTTCAGAATCCCTGAAACTACTCCCCAAAGCCAGAAGTCACTGTGCTCCATAACTCTACCTTTGGCAGATCAAAGTTGCTTGTCACAGTGTTATTGTTTTCTTCCTGCTGGGCACAGACGAGGGTCAGCCCCAGACACAGCAACAGCAGCTTCATCTTGGCAGGGGATAGCACTGCCTCCTCCACAGTTGCTGGGGGTGAGTCTTTCTCTAGCAGTAGCTCCACTCTCCAGCTCATCTGTCTTTATATCCATTCTGTATCCAGTTTTTTTCCCCTTGGGGCACTCACTACCTTTTCCTTCCTTCTCCGTGAAATGGTCTTTCCTTCACCGGTGTGTGGCCAAGGATTGTTTCTGCCCTTTTGAAACTTGGCAATCTCATTTCTTTTAGATCTAGTTAGTGACCTTAAATTTCCCAGAACACATTATCAAGAAAAATAGCAGATGCCCTAAAGGGCTCTCATTTGGAACCAGATTTAACTGTGGATCTGGCTTATAACTGGAAAGCCAATTATGTGTGGCAGGAATGGGCATAACTGAGAAACAGAATGTGCCAGCATCTCTGTTCTACCTCTCATACAAAACGTGAAATTAGATGAGTTACTCAATTTTTACAAGGCCCAGAAACAAAGAAACTATTCTACCAAAGATGAAAGCACCTATCACAAAGCATTAAAATACGGTTGAACAAAAAAAATGTCTTTGAAGTATGGTGTCCAGTATTCAGTATATTCAAATTCCCTTTCCTTATTCTCTGAAGCCAGTTTCTGCAGCCTTCCATCTCCCCGCAATGAGTGAACAAGTATTTAGTCACTATGTGTATGTCTTTAGCACAGGCCCATAAGAGAAAAGAAGTACAAGATATTCCTTCCTTCAAAGAACCCTCAGTGAAGTTGGAAAAGTGTTTCACATACTTAGTGAAAGTTTAATCCTAAAAGCACATTAAATGACCCAGTTGAGTAACCTAATAAAGTTACTATTTATAATAGTAATGGAGCTCTGCAGGCACTGCCATCTTTTCATATGGTACAATTGAAAAGGGGCTGGAGTGGGGGCATCATGTCAAAAGTGCCTAAGAGCACAGGTTTTGGAGTCATGAAGACCTGGGTTTCATTATTCTCTTTGCCATTTTGAAGCCATGAAGACATACTGTGAATTCTCTCTGAGCCTTCTCTCTGTCAGTTTCCTCCTAACAGGGCTAATGATACCCGTTGAATACACTGCTAGGGATTCAATGGAGTGATGAGCATAAAACCCCCACCATAATGTCTAGCACACATTGAGCTGGTGGGTCAGAGAACGCTTTCTGGATAAGGTAGGGCTTGTAGTAGGTGTTGAAAGTCAGGGAGGGTATGGAGACATGGAGTGTATGTGGAACAGCATTCCGGGAGGGAGGAATATCATGAGATAACATGCCACCAGCCAGGGTTGTTATATGGCTCATTTCTGCCTTGCACAAATGGCCTTCTTCTGCACCCCCAAAACCAGAAAGAGGTTGGCATAATGGGAGGAGCTGAGTGCAGGGCAATGAATCTGGGAATGGTGACATTCTGTCTGTAGCCTGCTTAGAAAGTCATCCCAGGCTCTTGTGTGAGCTTTCCTGGTTCATGCTCAACTGACGTTTAGTCACTGGTGTTTTGAGGCCTATGTCACTTCACCATCATAGGTAGCTGTGGGTTTTCCTGGCCCTGAGATAGAAGAACTGAGGTTGATAAGTAGCGACAAAGGCTGTGTACTTTATTTCCTCCATTTGAGTCTCTTCAAGAATTGATGGCAGCCTGTGAGCCATCAGATTTGCAAAATGAACCCCACTCTTCCTGGATCATGATGCTGAGGGGAGAGTCAGCTACCGTGGCTGATTCCGCCGTTCTGATCCCCCACTGCCACTTGTAACTCTGCACTCTTACAGCACCAGATTGTAACTCTCCTTCTGTTTTCATTCCCTATGAGAAGGTAAACTCCCTTCTGAAAATTGAGATATCTTTCTTGTTGTACTGATACATAGTATCACTTGTACTGAATACATGGTATTATCTTTGGAGTGTTTGTATACTAAATCCTACTATAAAAGCACTAGGGATTCTTGATATTAGAGGCAACCTTCTAGAAAATCCTTTTGGAAATAGGAATATTATGTTTGGGTGATGATATCCTAATTTATATTATCGGGCCACAGGAATAGAGGGAGAGCCTAGGACTAAAGTCTGTGATCAGAAGCCTCCGATGGGATGATCTTACTTAGTAAAATCTGAGTTGAATATATCACTCTCTGGCTGCTCCACTTCAAATCTACCACATTTTTGGTGGTTGGTTTATGCATTGCCAGAACAGCCTGTAATCACTGAGGTAGCAAGGTCGAGGCTTCAAAAATACCCAAGAAGTGTGATGTAATCTAGCTAGAAAATTGGTAAGAGAAAACCCAGACAAATCAAAGCTGAACTAATATTAAAATGTAAAATCAACCAGGAGGGATGCTTTGCTTTATGACAGGATTCCATTAAATAATACTCTAGTACTGCCTTTGAATATTTGTGCTAGGAAGTACAGATTATAACCTGACAACAGTTTCACAAATTGTAGATGACCAATAAATATTACATCAAATGAAGTGTAGACTTCTGTTGTGGGGAGGATTGGAAGAAGTAGAGAGATAGAGAAGAATGACAAAAAAGAAAAAAAGAATAACCACTGATGTTAGCCTCTCTCAGACTGTGTAGAAAGTATAAACACATAAAACAAAGATTTAATTTACAAAAGTTCATTTGACCACCCATCTCTAGGGAATACATCTATTGTATAACACAAGATACACAGGGTATGGAATTTAGCTGTAATTTGTCTGTCATGCAGCAATTTGCTTTAGGAAATGATGCTACTAATTTTTTTTAAGATGATAATTCAACTTAATTCAAAGAACATTATCCAGTGCCTCTTCTATTAAACCTATACCAGGCACTTTGAGGGCTAAAGAGAGAAAGCAGATGGGGGCTGTGCCCTCAAACTCCTGGCCGCTGTGGGGATGATTTAAAAACAAACAAACTACAAGGTCTAAAGTGAAAAAAAATTAGGAAAACAGAGGTGGCAATAGTAATGAAGAAGAGGAGTAACAGGAGAAAGACTGACCACCTAATTCTAGGTATGGAGCCAGAAATTTTTTTTGAGCAGGACTTTATCTAAGGAACACAAATTCACAAGATAAGGGTGAAATATAGCAAGCTGTTGCTTTTTTTTTTTTTTTAGAGGTGTCTCACTCTGTCACTCAGGCTAGAGTGCAGTGGTGCCATCTCAGCTCACTGCAACCTCTGCCTCCCGGGTTCAGAGATCCTCCAAACTCTGCCCCGAAAGTAGCTAGAACCACAGGCATGTACCACCACACCCAGCTAATTTTTTTGGTATTTTTAGCAGAGGCGGGGTCTCGCTATTGCCAGGCTGGTCTCAAGTTCCTGAGTTCAAGTGATCTGCCCACCTCAGCCTCCTAAAGTGCTGGGATTACAGGCATGAGTGACTGCACCCAGCCAGCTAGCTTTAATGGACCTCTCCTGATGCAGTGGAGAGGGAAACAGTGGCGGGTCTCTGGGGAGTAAAGGTTCTGTGCTTTCCAGCAGGGAGAAAGGATGAGATGAGCTGTCCTGCAAGCCACCAGCCCCCAAGGAAGTGACTCCTTCCTTTCTGCCAGGGAAGGAAGAATGCTTGTGATGAATGAGTCTTGGTCTGTTCAGCAGTAGCAGATGGACCAAGTGTACATTTGTTATCTGTCACCATCCTAGAGAGGTGGCCTTTGGATCTTCTCTTTTATGAGACTAACTGAGTAGGATTCTAACTCTTGTCAAGGTTAATTCCAGGGCTGAATTCTACAACATATGCATTTGCCACAACATCATGTTATACCACAAATACATAAAAATTTTTACTTGTCAGTAATTTTTAAAAAAAAGATTACAAAAAAAAAAGTCATTGCAAGGCCAAGCTACCCAAGCCCCACAAACCCATCAATCTTTTAAGAACACGGCATTGACACCTGAATCCAAACTGCTGTATTAACAGTCAAGTTGCGTCAGCTAGTTTTATATTTGGGGCCTTTAGACTTCAACAGACTTAGAAACAATCTGGTAATAAAAGAAAGAAGGTCTTGTTTTAAGTCATATCTGCCCAAGGAGCTCCAAGCACAGAACTGTGCCAGAGTCTACTTACCATGACTAATGTTTATAATTGGGATGTATTTTTGCAGCAGTGTAGGTTTCATCTGTCCTGGGGACACATAAACAAAAACAGTATTTTGATGCTGGAAATAAAAGAACTCAGTAAGTTTTGATGAGTGTTCAACAAACATTATCTTATTTAATTCTCATAATAGCTCTATGTGAGAGATATCATTGTCCTGTTTTACAGTGGTATGAACCAAGAATCAGAAAGGTGAAGTAATTTTACCAAGGTCACTTTGCCAATAAATGAGCGAGCCCATTTGTGAACAAACTGATTCCAAAGCCCCTACTCTTATTGATTCCTCTACACAGGTCAGGGCTTGATGTTGAACATGAAGGGCAGATGGCTGAATAGAAGGAACAGTAATAAGTAACACTGTAGACCCTTAGAGAAATTTGCCTGATAGTTGCTACCAAAGAAACTGCATGCAGATTTCTTAAAAACATGGTACCATGAGGGTAGCTGCAAGAGTTTGATCAAGTGAAGGCAGAGTAACAACCCTCTCCTGATCAACAAATATTTGATGGATGAATAGGGAGTACTGCTCTCCTATTAAGGAATTAGAAGATGCCTTTGTAGCAAAAAATAAGAACTATTCCCTTCCATTTATGGTGTCAAGTTAAGCACCTGGTCATCAACCACATTATGCCTCCCGTACCCAACTTCGATTTGTCAGAGGTAGGGTCATGGAACACAGTGACTTCTGACTATGCTTCTGCCCAATATAGGGCATTTTATACATGACCTAAGGGAAGGGTGACAGTCAGCCAGGTTGTTGAAAAATGACAGACCCAGTGTGTGGGTAAGAGGTTTATGGAGTCCACATATGACCAGATGACAGTCCATTTATAACCCAGTAACTAGCTGACTGGAAATGGACTTAATGACCTTGACCTCACTCACACTTGTGATTAATTGGACAATTCATTCATTGAGAAAGTCAATGGGAATATTCAAGTCCTGTTATATAATACCAAGGCATATTCAGTTCCAAGAATATCAAGAAACACAAGCTTATTTGATTCATGT